TCAAACAACACCAATTTCCTACTTTCTCAAAGATACCAAAATACCAAAATTGAATAAGTAGGATGATCTAATGATAAGGAGGTGCTAATGTTTATTCACTTTGGACTCAAAATCTAAAAACTTCAGAATGATAAAAGTGTTAGAAGACTGGTGCACAAAAGCATTAAGTTAAGTTCCAAGACTCAAGCCAAAATCATTACTTCAGTATGAGACAATCTTTCGGAAAAAAATATCAAGATTCGACCAAAAAACGACAGCTTAAACACTTAGTTTTGCTTGGCTTCGACCTTCTTCTTCTGCCACAGCCTGTCGACACCACTGTCAGCGTCTCCCTGCAATCATGTACATCAATAATTAGCAATCTATTGGATGAAGATAAGTAGAAAAAAAATGCAATCTAACAAGGGTTGTTCAACTCTCTTCTGATACACACAAAACAAATCACTCTTGACTCAATTTTGGACAAAGCATTGACAAATTGGGAACACAGAGTCTATATATAAGTGTTTACAAACCTGGGCACGGACGAAACCACAGAGAGCAAAGGTGGTGAATTGTCCGGTGTACACGCCATTAGCATCTAAATGACCAATGTTGAGCTGAACAGAGGCATGATCCTTGGAAGTGATCAACCGGTTAGTAGCAGAGCTGCAATATCAGTCAAAAACAAACAAGAAGCAATCTTTAATAAGAGAATACAAAAATTCAATAACACAGAGACCAAAGACAGAAGAAGAAGAAAATGTTTCAATTACCATTTCCTAGGAATGTAAAGCTCAGTGGTCTGACCCTCTTCGTTTTGCATCTTGAAGATTAGCTTTGAAGAGTAGACGAATCCTATATATATATCCAAAGAAGGCAAAAAAAAAAACAGAACATCTTATGTTAGACAAGAACCAACAACAACATTGACAACATTATAAAAAAACCTGAGATCAAAAATGATTGCAAGTGAAAGCAATAATACGAAATTGAACATCTGATGATATTTATAGCAAGCGAGAGAGAGAGCTCTAGGGTTTTTCAAAAAACTAGAGATTGATAACTATTACTCTAATGGTTCTACACTCAACACCATCGGCTATATAGCCTATATTCGTAAAGATCCATGATAAATCGAAAAGATGAATACGAAGAGAAGAAGTGCGATTAGTTTACCTGAGAGCAGAGAGGAGAAGCGAAGCAGGTGCGGCAACGGGAGCGAGTCGACGAAAGCAAGCGTTTATACGTGGAAAACCCTAAGTTTTTTCTTTCGTGGGTTTGGAAAAAAATTTGTTATTGGCCCATAAATGGCTCATTTTGCTATCTTCCGCCCATAAAGGCCCATTATGACTCTTAAGAACGTTTAGACCTGGGCTTTCTGTTAACCGTTCGGTTATCGGTTGGGTCCATTCGGTTTCGGTTCTTTCGGTTTCAAAATTTAGTATCCATTCGGATATTTTAAAATTTCGGTTCGGTTTCGGTTCGGTTCCGGTTGTTTCGGTTTTAAAATTTAGTATCCATTCGGTTATTTTGCTTAGGATATTTTCGGATATTTCGGTTATTTTTGAGTATTTTCTGATATTTTTGGATATATTTCGGTTATTTTTGAGTATTTTAACTATTTTTACATATTTTTCAAGTATTTTTGTTTATTTGGTCTATAAATAACTAATTATTTTGAAAATATAATTGTATTTCGGATATTTCGGGTAAACCGAAATATTTCGGTTCGGTACCGATTCGGTTACGGTTATTTCGGTTATTAAATTTACTATCCATTCGGTTATTTTCAAATTTTTGGTTCGGTTCGGTTCGGTTTTTTTTCTTCGGTTTCGGTTCGGTACATTCGGTTCGGTTTATTTGCCCAGGCCTAAGAACGTTAATTACCTTTGTGTTCACAGATAACATTTTTTTTTGGTAAGAGGTTACAGAGATTACAGGAACAAATGAAAGCACGCTACAGAAAATTAAAGACTGATATTACTACTCAAAAAGCTTCAGATCGCTACTAAATGAAGGTGGCTTAAAGACTGATATTACTACTCAAAAAGCTTCAGATCGCTACTAAATGAAGGTGGCTAAGTTGCGAGTAGAAACACCAATTCCAAGACCGCGAAATTCGGAAATTTGTATAGTTGCCACATATCAGAAGTAATGGAATCCTCATCATTGTTTCCACGAGCCGCTCTATCCGGGATCACTCCTCAAAGCCTCGTGATAGAAGCATGCACTTTTTCCGAGAACTAACGCAAAAACGTACATGCAACTGCGGAATCTACACTAGCTCAACGAGTTAGTGATGCCACTTAGACCTATTCGCCGCCTCTATACAACACTCAGAGAACCTAGCCATAACACCCAGAAAGTCACGTTCACCAATTGAACCGACACCGACAACACCAAGTGTAAGTGACAAAGAGAAGATGGGCGTCAAACCAGTCCATGAGAAGAAAAGCCCAACAACAGCTACTTCTCTTCCACCTCAAGTTAAGCCAAATGCAGTCTCCGTACCTACAAAAAGAAACGTTGAACCAGCTAAGGAAACGCGCCTTCACAACAGATTTGATACGCTCTTATCTCTTAGTGATGACTAGGCTATTCTAGAGAGTTCTAAATCCACATTGGTCTAGACTGTTCTATAAAACCCTATAAAACAGAGTGTATCCTCTTTGAGCTTAGTATTGAGAAATAAGATTACAAGTTTCAAAGTTCAATCCTTTCTTATTTCCTACACCAAGAACAACAAAAACTCCACAGATAACATGTCGAGTGCTACCAATTCATCGCCTTTAACACAAAACCTAATTAATTGTAGCTATATATATCATTCATTTACTTTTGACATTGCTTTTGAAATCAAGTTGAATTAAATTCTAGATAAAAACTTTTATTATTTTTAGTTTGCTACCTTAATAAATTTTTAGTTGATTATTGATGATCTCACTGGTGAAATGATTGAGGCAAAAAAGACAGTTGTCATTATTTGGTTTATCGACTTTGGAAGTTACCTTTGAGCTTATCTGTTGTATCTCCAACAACTGAAAGAAGATTTTAATTTTAACAATGAATATGGTATGGCGTAATAGTATTGGTGATCCATTTTGTAGTGATTGTTGAATTTGTTTTATTTAAAAACAAGTGTTTGATATTGTGACCAACGAAATTGTGATAAATTTTTTTTTATAAAATAAACTAGTGTATAATATATCATTAAGATGAGTATTTGTGATTTTTAAAAATAAAATTTTATCCATTTTTAATAAAAATATTCTAACCTCTGTGACTAATTATTCCACCACTATTAATAGCAAAAACTTCAATCTTTCTTCGCATTGACCTTTTTATCTGAAATAAATATATGAACACATGCCATAAGGGTTAAAATATGGCTGGAAGGTTTAGTACAATGTTTGTACTTGAGATGATAAATGCTTATAAAATTTACGGCTTGACTACACAAAACTAATAACATAATTAAATTATACTCCCTCTATTTCAATATATATGAGTTTAAGGTAAATGCACACATATTTAGATCATTTATTTTCTTTTAAAAACATTATTTATATTTAGTTTAAGAAAAATTCAACCAATCACAAAAAGGACTACATAATATAAATAGTCATAAGTTGCCAAATGCATTTAAATTTATATTGAAACTAACAAAACATCTTATAATTTGAAACAAAATAAAATCCCTAAAACATCTAATATAATGAAATAGAGGGAGTAATAAACATTTAAATCAACATGATACTTGTTATTTGTAAAATACTATATTGCATTTCAAATTAGGCAATAAAAATGATACTTGTGTAGTTATAAAAAAATTTAAATTTCATCGAATGTAATAACTTTTCTTTTGATAAACTAACTGGTTTATCGTAACTAATGATGTTAAACTAGGCTCTAAACCCGCAGGTCCAAATGAGCTATTTGTATTGTTTTTGCAGCCGAACTTGTTTAAGAAACAAAAATTATAAAAGGTTACACCCATTTAAGCCCGATTCCTAACGAGTCTAAACAATAATAATCGGGTAGCCCATTTATTTATTTTTCGAAATTTTCTATGCCCAAAACGACGCCGTTATAGTTTAGTTCTGGTTTATCGTAGTTTCTCAGTTCATCCTCATTCTCAACTTCAAGCCGAATTTTGGCGTGGCTCTACTTTACTCCGGCGAAGCTCTGCTCTAATCCCGATGAATCTCTATTCTAATCCCAACGAAGCTCTGTTTTAATCTTTCTAATCTTTATCGCAATCAAATAGATTTAAGTGAGTTTTCTTCATTTTGTTTGATCCATAGAGTCTTTGTTGGGTTTTCAATTTGTTCTTCCGTTTTAAGATCCTTGTAGTTTTGTTGAATTGGATTAAATAGGATTCGCGGATAAGTGCATTGAAGATGTCGTATATGTTTCATATCATTGAGATTGTTCTA